GTGTTGGTTTAATCCGTGAGTTTTCTGTTTCTCACTATCTGAAAGTGTTTTAATTAGCAATAAATTATTTTTTCTCAAGTATTTTGCCCATGACAGTAACTGGCAAGTAATGTCCCTGTGTTTCTCTCAACCCATGAGCTGTTTCATCCTATTTTCTCCCCATGTCCCGTTGAGGAGGGGGAGTGAAAGAGTGGCTGAGTGGGTGTCCGGCAGCCAGCCTGCCAATGTCATCCCACTATAAATATTTGGATGCATACTTTGATGTTCATTTTAAAAGCTTCCAACGTAGAAGCTTATAACTTAGAAGCTTCTAAGCACTGATATAACTACAAATAGTTAATAGTTGCAAAGATGGCAAAAGCCAAGCAGTTTTGGAAAGTTATGCAAACAGGACAGATTACAGCTAGTATCAGATGGTGATCTGTAATGTTTCAGTCAAAACGTTTTACTTATTTCATTCAAATCACTACTTGGAAGTTCACTAGGATTTATTTCATTAAGTTCCTTTTGACCAATACCCACAAGCTTTCACTGTCACATGTTTCATTCACATTAACAATTTGTACTTTCTACTATAACTAGCACTATGTAACACAAGAGTCTTCCAATGACAAGAGAGAGGTAAGGGATGAGTGGAAGTCTTAAGCAAGGAAGACCCAACCTCAGTAGAGGAAGAACATATTGGGAATCACTTAAACCAGACATACAGAAGCCCATGAGGTCTCAGATGCTGAGAGTCATTTCAAGGCCATTCTATGTTATCTTCAATAGGTTGTGGCAGTTGAGGCAGCATTCTGAGGACTGAAAACAAGCAAACATCACTCTTACCTTCAAGGGTGGCAAGAAAAAACATCTAGTGAACTACAAACCAGGCAGTCTCCCCTTGATCCCTGGGAAGGTCATGGACAGACTAATCTGGAAATCATTTCCAAACTCATGGAAGACAAACAGGTCTTCCATGAGTAGTCAGCATGGATTTATGAAGCAGAACTCATAACTGACCAATCCGATAACCTTCTACAATGAGGTGACTGGCTCAGAGGATAAGAACACAGCAGTCTACCTTGACTTTGTCAAGGTTTCCAACTCTCCCATTACAGCCTCACAGACAAAATGACAAAACATAGAATAGATAAATCAACAGTGAAGTGGGCTGAAAAGTAGCTGAATTCCAATGTTCAAACTGTTGTGATCAGCAGCACAAAATCCAGCTGGAGGCCAGTCACCAGAGGTGCCCCTCATAGGTATATACTGTGGCCAATACTGTTTAACATCTTCATTAATGATCTGGATGACAGGGTAGAGTGAACCCTTAGCAAATTTATAGATGATACAACACTGGTAGGAGTAATATAGCAGAAGACTGTGCTGCCATTCAGAGGGACCTCAACAGCCTGCAGAATCTGGTAAACAGGAACCCCATGAAAGTCAATAAAGGGCAATGTTGGAAACCCTGCACATGGGGAGGAATAATCCCTGGCATCCATACTGGGGGCCAAACAGCTGGATATTAGCTCTTCAGAAAAGGATTTGATGTCCTTGTGGACCATGAGTTGACCATAAACCAGCAATAAGGCCTTATGGCAAAGGCCAACAACATCCTGGGTAGTATCAGAGAAGCACTGCCGGCAGGTGGAGGGAATTCAGCCTTCCCTCACTACTCAGCAATGGCAAGATGAAATGTGGGGTCCTGAGTCCAGTTCTGAACCTACTGAAACAGTTCTGAAAAGGTCCTACCAAGCTAAGGGATTGGTGTCTCTGCCATACTCAGAGAGGCTGAGATGGGATTGCTAAACCTCAAAGCGAGAAGGTTCAGGGAGGAAATCTTGTCAATGTGCATAAATACCCAGGGCGAGTGCGAGGAGTAACAAAGATAGAGCCAGACTTTTCTGCCAGTGCCTAGTAACATGACAGGCACAATGGACACAAACTAAAATTCAGTTTCTACTAGAAAAAAGTTTCTACTTAAGAAAAAACTTTCTACACTGACTGTGGTGAAATACTGGTACAGGTTGCCCAGAAAGACTGAGGTCTCTCCATCCCTGAAGATACTCAAAACCCAAGTGGACAGAGCTCTTAGCAACGCACTCTAGTTGACCCCACCTTGAACCAGGGTGTTGGACTAGATGACATCCAAGCATCCTTGCCAGTCTCTACTATTTTGCGATCATTTCATTCTTTTCTTTTAATTTCATTCTCTTCTTTTAATTCAGAATTAGTCATAGTACAGTTTTTAAATTATTTTTTTATGTTTTCTTTCTAGTGCATGAGCTTTAGGTAGATATACAAAATGGTTCTGTGACATTTGTCTCTGGAACACATAAAACCATCCATTATAAGGAAATAAAAGGGATCAAGAAACAAAAAAAAGCAATAGATTTAAAGCATACACTAGTAAGCTGTAACCTGAAACCAACTGCAGGACTTAAGCAAGCAGTGCTATCCATTCTTTTCTACTTGGAGCACAAAATCTTTTTTCTTCCTGATTATGTTATACTGGAAGTGAGACATGCAGCAGCAAACACAGCAAAGATGCTGCCCCTCGCACTAAACATGCTGTCTGGTATCAGACATCACATTTTAGAAGAAAGTATTTTCCTTCCTATTGCAAAGTATAAATTGAGGTTTTAGAATTTTAATACTAAACATTATACCGGTGTGCTAATTCTACATAGAATTATTCGATTTTTCTTTTTTCTTCTTGCATCATTGTATTGGGAATATTCTTGTCCTTCCAAAATACTTTCTTTTTTTTCCTTGCAAGCTCACTAGTCAGTCCAAGAGAATGGAATCATGAATGCCTTACACATATTCTTCTATACCCACTGTCCCAGTGTAAGATTTCATTGACACTAATGGAACTGTTCCTTATGTTTATAGATACATGAAATTGGAATTCAGTTCAACACGAAACCTATTCTGAGAATCAGCCTCTCCATTAGTCACTCCTTCAAACAATATATTGGATTTCAAACAATGACATTCTACATTTTACTGAAAAATACCTCTTATAGACAACCATCTTTCCTGGAAGTTCAGTAGTTCCTTATGGTGGGCCTTCACTGGGAATCCTGGAAGGTATGATGGCTCAGTAATTCATGCAGTGAACCTCTGAGAAAGGTAATGATGATACTCCTTACTGTGTTCCAATCCATGTAGCCAGCCAACACGTAGGAAAACTGACTTCCTTAAGACAAACTGCTGATTGTGATTTCATGTCTAAGCTGGGTTCTACAATGAGTGAGTCAGCACTGGCACTCATAAGTTAAGCAGGTTATACAATTTTGGCTACCAAAGCATGAGAATCTCTGGACAACATTATGGCATTTTACAGAAAATCAGAATTCAGCTAGTCTGGATTGTCATGTATGTAAATGAGTCATAAAAGTGACCAACTTTGAAAACATGTAACTTAAATCTTCAGGAAAACAAAGAGAACCACAAACCAACCAACCAACCAACCAACCAACCAAATATCAAGTGCTCTGGATACAGACTGCAAACTTCATAATAATAAATATTTTTAAGAATGGCTGGAAAAATATTTACATCCTTCCATCATTATCAATTGTTCATGTTTATTTAATAGTGAGTCTTAGATCCACAAAACTAAATAAGGCAGTAATCATGAGACCATCTGTGCTCCAGAAGGTCAAGTAAACATTGTCAAAAACATAATTCAAATAGTCAGAGTGTTATTGAAGGGGATTTCAGTACATTTATACTTTGACATATTTACAGAACTTTAAGAAAAGACAGACAGACAAACATATTAAAATGTCAGTGTTTTTTCAGGTCTTACAGGAATGCAGATATCCTGGGTTTTATATCCAAAATGAAGGTCTATTTATGTTATATAGTAAAACAAATATAGCGCGTCTACTTATTTTATATAGTATTTCAATATAATGGTAGCTTTCACTTAAACAATAAGATTTTTAGATCTCTAAACAGAATAAACAAAATACAGCAAATCCTGACCTAACAGTATTTCCTTAAACTAGACCATCTACCTACAAGTAAGGAATATTCCCCTGAAGTCTCTATCAAGCATTAGAGGAAGCTGCTAGCTCTGAATTTAGTAACTTTCAGAAATTTCCTGAATAGGGAAGCACGCTAATATCCTTGCTTCTCAAAGAGTAATCAACCTCTTCATACAAGCTACTTTTCACTTTTAAAAGTACTGTTTCCTGATTAGACACATTTAATGGGGGGAGCAGACCATTCCTGTGCTGGTAAAGCTACGTAACCAGATCAACACTGAGACACAACTGACTCAGTGAATGCTCTTTCTACACAGAATGTATAAGGCCATAATATTTAGCTTAATCCTCCTATGCCAGAAAATTTTACAGAAAATTTAGGCCTGGATGAGACTTGTTCTAAATTCAGCTGCTGTCACAGGATGGATATCCATCAAATCTTTTAAAAGCAGATACAACTTGTCAGAAATAGCTTTAGGCATACTTTTAACCTGCTGTGAAACCAGGAATGGCTTTCAGAACTGCCTGCAGTCTGTTGTGGGACATTTTGTATCATAACAGATGACATATTTCGACAGCTTAAAAGAAGAGGGGGGATTATGTTTGGGGTTTTTTTTAATGCTTTTTTACTACTGAATTATTAATTTATCTGTTTTAAACTTCCATGAGTTTCATAAGAAGGGCTGCTAGATTAGGCTGTAACCCATTATTTACTAAGAGTAAAGTTATTTGGGAATGAATTACCAGTTAAGTGTGTCTACTCTCAAAAAGATTTAACCTATTTATTTCTTTGCTGGGCTGAATTAAAATATTTTCATCCAAGTCAAGTTTGGTAAAATTAGTCTAGGTAGGATCAAAATATTGTTGAAACTAGTTAAAACAATAAATCACATAAAGATTGTGAAAATTAGAAGCCCTTATCAAAAGAGTTCAGTGTTTTGGAATTGCTGTGTAGTACAAACCAGAGAGACAACTAGTATAATGACCAAGGTGATACAAATAAATGTCTCATCTTACTTGTCCAGGGCTGTGCTGGTAGGCATGCTCCTGCCAAATCCTCGGACACCCATCTGACAGAAGTATGGAATGCAAGACAAATTGGCAGCAATTATAGCCAACGAATCCGACGCGTTAACAAAGAAACCATTTTGGCCAAGGATCATGTAGCGGTCCTGGAGAAGAAAAGAAATTCAAAAAAACATCTTAAGTTCCATGTTTTGGGGAGTGGTAATTTCTTTTATCAGATCCACTGTAGGTAGGTAAAAAAATAATACGCTTTGGGTTGCTTGCACCCCTCTTTCAGCAGAATAATGTATTGGCATCATCCTGGCACATTTATAATCTTGCTATCGCACCATCACTCCCTCCAGCCTTGCAAATCAAAGCTCCATACAGATGCCTCTAGATTCAGCCTCCTACATGACACTTCAGTAGGTCTGTTCCTGCCAGGAAATGCTTGTGTAGGAGAATCCTTTTGCAAATGACACACACTATACAGGGAGTAGGAGGGTGTTTTGTGTTTACTAACACAAAATAGCTTCTGTTCTTCAGAATCTTTTCATCTTTCTCCCACTCTGCTAGGACAGAAAAATGTTTCTGTAGTCCTTTGCTGTTTATAATGCTGATAATACGACATGAAAAGATTAAAACAGAGATTATGATTCAGTGCTTTATTTTGCTAAAAATCCCTCAATTTATGACATTAACCAAAATGACTTAACTTAGTTACCTCTTACTGTGACAAGTCCTATTATTTTTATACGCTGTCTCTTTCTAACCAGGGAATAAAAGCATTATACCAGTACAAGATAAAATCAGCCTAATATTTAAAGAATTCTCATTCTGCATTCAAATCCAGCTCGATTTGCAGATGGATTACACCATATGTGTCTGATTTATGGGTTGCAAATGCTATTATCTGTACCTGAAAGTAATATCACTTGCAGCTTAAAGGGTTTACTGAAAAGCAAATAAATTACACTTATATGTCCCATATCTGACCCTAGACAAACAACTATGGTGAAACTTCCAGACAGATCAAAATACTTACTCCATCAGCATCAAAAGCAGCCCCAAATCCATACTCGCCACCTCTCATAGCCTCCAGCAAGGCAGTTGCATATGTTAAATTGGGATCAGGAGGCTGTCCACCAAAATCCTCAAGAGGAATACAGTTTATGGCAGAATTTGCAGGAGCTCCCAATTCATCACACAGGATTCTTCTCACATAAGGTCCCATAACTGTAAAAACAGGAATCTGCCATGTAATCAGAAAAGCATATGCTTGACATACAAATTTTTCACAGCACCATGAAGATATGAAACATACTTCCAGCAATTCTATACATCTGTCCAAGCCACAAAAAACAAACTATAATTTCACAGAGGAGTATGTGATTGTCCCCCCAGTAAATAATCAGTTGGCAATTCAGCATTAAAAACAGAGTTCCCCACTAGTGGAAGTGAAAAAGTAATCACTGAATGTTGAAAGAAGCAAGTTTCGGTTACCTATTATTAAGCAAAGAAATTACCATACACATAGAGGATTTTTTTTTCTCACTAGAATAGAAGTAAGATGCTATTCTGCATGCCCTGGAATGCCAACAACAGTTTAACACATAATAGCATGGGAAGTAAATAGTAAGGGAATACAAATGGGAAATAAACTTACTGCAACATTCCAATTCATGTTAAAATTGCAACATGTTTGTCCACCAAAGAATTTTACCACATTTTAGTTACTAACACATAGACAATAAATTAAAACTTTCTCAAAACTAACTCCAGAGTAATTTCTGTATATGGCCAAATAACAATAGCTCATGATATTAGATATCATAATTATTATATGCATTCAGCCGCTGAATGGACACTAACAACTGACTGAACCCTCTGCGGCCCTGAGGCAGGTGTGAACAGGTCCCTCAGAGGTAAAAAAATTCATGATTGTTTGCTTGCTGTAGTATGCTCTCTTACTCCCAAATCTTGCCTAACTGGAGCAACTGTAATCCAAGGTAAAACTATGTGTGAAACTTGTGTTCAAGGAAATTTAGACACTAATTCTGTAAAATATACAGTAAACAATGATTCAGGTTCTTATCAAGAGTGGGCTCCTGACAAATTACTCTTTTCTATGCTAAACTGTCAATGTCTACAAGGCACAAAAGCAAATTCCAAAGGTGCAAAACTAAAACAAACTTTGGAAGGCAGTTTGTCCAAGTACACATGTGGTCATCTCTAACATTCACTATATTGTGGCTAGTGACTCACTTTTGGCTAACATATGTTATCCAGAAGGTCTTTTAATCTGATGCCATCAAGAGAAGGACAAATCCCAACTATCTTTGGTAGAATACTCCAGTGGTTACTCACTGTTACTCATAAACATATGAGCTACATTTCAGTTTGAATTTGTCTGGCCTCAACTTCTCACTACTGATTCTTTTTGGTATTTTGGGGAATTGAAGACTGAAAAAAAAAAATTCTGCAGAAAAAAAAATGAAAACTTTTTCTGTTGTATAAACAAATAATCTTGTATACACTTACTTTATGTGTACTGTGTATTATAGTATGGTTATTTCTAGTCCAAGATACAAAGTCATAATGCCAATTCTCTATCATCTTGTAAATAATGTAAACAAACTCAGTCCTTTAAAATTTTTGGGATGCATAAGGTTTTCTAACCCTGTATCACAGTATGCATCTTTTTGACAACATGTAAAACTTCTCAGCCCTCATTTATAGATCTGGACATCAGAGCTCTACCAACTAGATTAGTAACATTCTCTCCAGTACTGTACGTGACAGGAGACAGTACCTTCGTCATTGTTCCCTCTACACTGTTCAAGGACACCATCTGCCCTTTTGCCAAAGCCTGGCAAAAGTGGGTGTTCACAGTGACTGTAAGTCCAGTATAATCTTTTGAACAGTGACTATCACAGTGTACTAGATACTTTACAAATGCTTTGTAAGTCTATCCAGCTCCTTTATCATTCTGGTTTTGTAATCCTGTTGAAGAATGAAACCTGGTTGGTTTGATGGTATTAATTTTCCATAAAATAATGTTGAACAGCATTACCTACATTCTTATCCTTCAAGTCATAATCCGTAGAAATCTTTATTTGTGTTTTCATGATGTAGCCTAAGATAGATCTCACACCAATCTATGTTTCCCCAAGCGACACAGCTTATATTTGTTTAATATTATCACTAACTTGGTCCCCTTGCTGTCTTTTATGACACTTTCATCTTGCCCCCAGTACACTGAAATTTTTTAAGTTAACAGTAGTGAGACAGAGGTCCAAGGCAACATTTTAAGGACTCTTGGATGCAAGAGTCTTATAATTTTATATCATTTAGATTTTACTCTTAGTAGAGGCTGCTCTGTAACCTCCTTGGTTACTGCACACTGAAAGATACTTCATCACCCTCTCATGGCAATATTATCTCATCCAGCTTGCTTCCAAAAGCAGGAAGAGATTATTTACTGGACACAGTGTCTTCACTTCTTTATCAAGAAAGATAAACTTCTTTACCTAATAAGGGACTTAACACATTGTTAAGATTGCCTTTGTTACTAGTATAACATTCCAATCCTTTCTTATTACTCTTAATCTTACTAAAAAGTCTGACTTTTATATGCTGTACCTTTACTGGGAAACTAATGCAGTGTACCATCTTTACTGGGAAGCTATTGCAGTGTACCTACAATTTTGTCCTGATAGCAACTTAAGTTCATACCTCCATTCATGGCGTCAATCCTTATTTTAATCTGGTTGGGTCCTGTCAGCAAATTTCTGATCGCATTGAAGTCAAAGATACTTCGAAGGAGATTCAGGTAAATATCCACAGAATCTACAATTTCCACTAGAAAAATTGGGTAGAAAAAAATCACTACAGTTCACACATGGGAAAACATCTCTTTCAGAAAACTTCCACCAGCCATGCACCTCAACTAAAATCAGAGCATGCAACCTCTAGAGAATATGAATTTGGTCTGAAGCCCATAGAAGCAAAGTCAAAGACTTAGACTGATTTCAGTGTGGCTACCGTGAAGTTTTAAGATTAACAGTTTTGCCTGCTAGAAGACTGCAGAGACCATGTAAGTTAACAGTTCCTACTTCACTGAGAACATTCATTAGAGTACAGTATATCAAAGTAAAATTTTATTTATCATTCACTAAATCACTGAACAACTTTTCAATCTGAATAGGTTTATTCTCAGAGGATGGAATATGTCCATACTGTGTTGAAGTCACACGTTCTATTCTTCTATCTAACAGCAGTATTTACTTGCATTATTCCATCAGGAGAGACATAGTTTTCTCCTGTTTCAGCATCTGGAATATTTGTCTTCTATTTGTTGTCAATCTACCACTTTGCATTTTATATCTCACTGATTTAGGAAAGTTAGGCTCAGATACCACATCCATTTTTTTCTAACTTGAATTCCAAATTCTTAAAAGCAGAGAGCTACAATTTTGCTAGATCTTTTGGATGTAAAATATTAAAATGAATTAATGAAAGCAAGCCTGTTGTAATGAAAGCTGTTACCAAACAACTACCAAAAAACAAGCCTGTAAAGTCAGCTTGAACATATTACTTCCCCTGATTAAATCAAAAAGCATTTATTACACAAATGTCTTTTAATCAGGTTAGATTACTATCTTGAAATATTTTAGTTACAAGTTAAATTATTACTTAGAATATTAGCCTTTTTTTCTCAGAAACAGTGACTTTGCCCTAATGATCATTTTTAGGATAACATTAACATGACACAGACATTTTTTGAGCCCAAGAAAAACTCTTGTAATAGATTGCAACAATACAATTCAATAGAGAAATAAAATAAAGGTTCACAAGGCTGAAAAACAACCTGAAAAACGTATTTGAAAGTGAGTTAATTCTATGGTATATGTCAAAACTCTCAAGGATTCACTAAAATTACATTAATGCATATCTTCTATGCAGTGCTCTTAATGATGTTTAAGTAAGCTCTAAGCTTTACACATATGTGCATATGCCTCAAATTCAGTGGAGCTGCTCACACATATTAAAACAAAGTGCATGTATGATTGAGGTCTAGAAGTTATTTTAGCTCCTGCCAAACTCAACTGGCTTACTCTCTATTGCTTCAAAACCTCTGTAGCCTTGATTCACAGGAGTTAGTTCATACAATTGAAAAAGCAGAAGCTTTAAATACATCAGACAGTACCTTAAAATACTTGCAATTATTTTTAATCTATTTTTATACTAACTGTTGGGGAGGGAGAATTTCTCATTTTCATTTAGAAAAATAAAATTTGGAGAAATTTAGAAGTTGAAAAAACAAAATCTAAAACTGGGGCACTCATATGATTCCAGAGTGGTGCTAGAGCTGAATTTCCTTTGTTTCCCTAAAAAGCTGAACATGTTATTTGCAATCAAAAAAATTTAATAATTTCAAATTTTTAGATTTTTTTTTTACATCAAAAACTTTATTCATCAGAATGTACTTTGTCTCAAAATATAATGTTCTGGTGGAATATAAACTGGTTTTAATTCTAGGACATCAGGAACAACAAAGAGTTCTTGAGGCCACACAGACTTTTACAGTATGTGAAATACTGTCTGGATCCCTTTCTTTGCTTTCTGACTTCTTCAGGACAAAATGGTTGTGCTAGCCCATTTTAAATCAAGTGTAGGAATAAATGTATTCACGTGCATAAATCTGAGTATGTGCTTAAGCACTCCCTTTAGAGTCACTGGCTGTATAGCGTTTTACACATCCCCCAACTTTTCAGAAAGAATGAGAAAAGAATGAATAAACTGAGAATCTCCATGAACTTTATCAATTAGATTTCCATAAGCAAATTATTCATAGTCCAGAAATGTTTGTATTTGGTGTTTAACTACTAGCAAGCCTAAGCACATATATCTGGCAAATGTATTTGGCTAAATGATAAAGACTGATGTACTTAAAGTTCATAAGTCAGCTTTCTTATGTGCAAAACAAACCCAACATCTATACTGCCTAATATTTTGAGAAATTGTAGTAAGGCATTTTGAAGAATTAAAGTTCTGTTGAAATAATTACCCGTTAGCATTCTGCAGTAATTCTAATATTTACAATCAATAGATGTAGCATGCATGAAAGGACACATTGATACCTCGGAAAGGTTTGAATTTGTTCTCCAGATCAAATTCTTGTCTTCCTAGGCGTGATAAATCAACTCTGAGATCAGGACAAATGGCATATTCCTCCAAAGTTTTGCTGATTTGATAGATTTTATCTGAAACTATATCTGGAGCAGGTCCTGTAAGAAAACAGAATGTACTGGGTCATTTATTTAAAGCAAGGTTCCCTACTTAAAAAGTGAGTGCTCTATCAAGCATTTTGGAGTTATTAAGAAATAAACCCAAACAAAAAACTATAGTAATTGAAGTCTGTTCTTTCAGTGTAACACAGGTTTAAAACATTTTTTGAAAAAATATAACATGGAAATACAGTGCATTACTCACAACACTTCGATTCACACAATTTAAATAAATCATTATCTAGGACAGGGAGGATGAGGAAAAACCCACCGCCATCTTTCTTTGAGTTTATTGCTCAAAGACTGCCATTTTTTACTCTACACAAAATCTCAACATACATATTAAAGGAAAGTCTGTCCTTCAGCAGTGTTTCTGGTGTTTCACAGGGCTTTCTGTAAATGCACACTTGTGAAGGTGACATAGATTTGTGTTCCACATTATTTTATTAGACATAATTATCATTGTAAAAAGTCTTACCAGTTTGATAGTGATGTTCTCTTACAGTTTTCCTCCAATGGCTTAATGAAATATATATTTGTTAGAATTCAAAATACCTTAATTGCTTAATAAGCAATTATGACCTGGAACAGTTATGTCATTTAGAAACAGAAATCACATCTTACTTGTGCATTACTTTTAGTGCTAAATCCTGAAGACTGGCTCTATTTTTAAAGATTTACTGTCAATCAAATAAAAGTTGCAGGCTTGATGCAAAAATTACCAGATGAGCTATGCCATATGTAGTGCAAGAGCTGAGTCTAAATTACAACAGTCCTTTCAGGCTTATCTAAGTCTTCATTGCTTATATTAAAGCTACACTTTCAGTATGAAAAATACTTTCTTTATTTCCTTTTATGTGCTTCTCCTCCCAATCCAAGGCTTCTGTCTTTCCAGTACTAACTTCCTGCTACTCTAGTAATGCTGCAATATTCAGTGAATTTTTGCCACATAAATTGGTGTGTTCCATCTCTGATGCAGTGTACCAGATGGTCCAAGGCAATACACTAAGTAACAATCACTTAACTCTTCATGTGGTTTAGAAAATGATTTCTTACTCATGTAATCTAAGCCATCCATGGGGCGAGGACAGGTTTTATCAGGTTCGTCTATCCTTGATAGATGGATGTATCATCTACACAGTTAAGGAGATCCCACAGCATCGCTCTGCGTTCTCTCTTACAGCTAAAAGAAACAAACTGCTTCTGCCTGACCTGAATCTGCAAAATAGACTAAGCAAGAATGCAGAGCAACAACAGCCTTCCCTAGGAGGTTGTCATGGTGCCTAACCACTCTCTTAGTTCAGAAGCCTTGCCTATTCTTTAACCCACATTTTCTCAGCTGCAACTTTAACTACATTTCATTTCGTCTCTTTGATTATCATAAATAACAGAACCTTGTGACCTGTGCTTGAGGAGTGTTTCATATTTAAAGCGTAATAAACTGTTCAATTTTTCTTTTAAAAAGCAAAGCACACTAAAAAGAATGCCCCACCAACTGTTACCCATTTATCAAACAGATTTTAGGTGTATGTGGTATAGTAAAGTTTACAGAGTGCTAATACATCTAATGGTTTCGCTCTGGTATGTTTGTGCTGTGACCCTGGCTTTCTCACTGTCTGACCTTACACAGTCCCTTTAATCTCTCCTGGATTCAAGCCTATTCTGTTCATAAAATCACACTGGTTTTACCATGCACGATTTTCAATTAAACAAGGGATTGACATTTCCTCCTCAAGTTCTCCCACATTCAAAATGGGAAAGGAAACATAATTTTTAAAGCACTTTATTTTTTTCAGATGGAAGGCACTCCACATGTGTGAGGTATACAAGGTGTCAGCAATTGTCACCACAATGTTTTATGTGTGTACACGGATCTATAACATAAAACATACGTAACGTATAACACACCTGCATGTGTTGACTTGCTGATTTTGGAAAACAAGACATTGCTATATACACAAATTCCATTATTCAACAGCGGAATTGCAATAGTTAAAGTGGTACAACCCTCTCCCTGGCTAAGAGCAGTTATTTCCTGGGTAAACATGAGAAATGCTTTCTTCCATACAAGACAATGAGTTATACTGCTTACAGCACTTCTGAAATTCCATGCTTTAAAGTAAATGCCAAGACAAGCAACATAGAAATATGACTAAAACAGAGCTCCTTCACAGGCATCTTTATAAAAGGATTAGAACTGTTACAATGATCTGGCAGACTACATAAAATGATATAAAAATGGGATGGCAAATCTCTCATTTACAGAAATCTTACAGCTACCACCGGGACTTCAGTGAACATTTAACACCTATTGTACAGATCCATGTAAATAAATACAATCCTATTACTGGGGGGGG